CCAGCACCCCGAGGGCCGCACCCCGAGGGCCACCTTGCCTCCAGTCCGTGCAGCCAGGGCGTGGGCGCCCCCGAGTGCGCCCGCTGTGCTCACCTGGATGCCGGCGTGGCTGCACAGGTAGAAGTCAAACTCGGTCGGGTGTGTGATCTTCGTGTCCACGGTCGTGCCCGCTGGAATGTTCCCCGCTCTTGCCGACCTTTGTAACGAGGAGGCTGGTTAGGGCACAGGCAGGGTGGCGACAGAGCTGATGCTGCGCTGGGGCTGGGTTCTCGCATGTTTCGTCACCATCCGCAGGTTCAACACGGCCCTGCACCCTGGTCACCGCTATTGTGATTTGTGACCCAGACAGAAACTGTCGCTGACAGACACAGAAAGCCCACTGGCGCAGAACAACCATGCCCACAGCCCGCGTCTCTGGCCACAGTCCCCTGCCACCGGCAGCCTGCTTTGGCTTCAGACACGTGACGTGGAATGTGCGGACAGCCGACCGGTGCCCGGGAACTCGCACTTTGCCTTGGGGCAGCCTTTTTTTAACCTTCAGATTTTTTGAAAGAAAGAGAATTTGGGGGGCCGGGGCTGAGGCATAGAGGGTAAAGCTGCCTCCTGCAGTGCCAACATCCCACAAAGGTGCTGGTTCGAGTCCTGGCTGCTCCACTTCTGACCCAGCTCTCTGCTACGGCCTGGGAAAGCGGTAGAAGATGGCCCAAGGCTGGCGCCGAGGCTCACTAGGATAATCCTCTGCCTTGCAGCGCTGGCACACCAGGTTCTAGTCCTGGTCAGGGCACCGGATTCTGTCCCTGTTGCCCCTCTTCCAGGCCAGCTCTCTGCTGTGGCCAGGGAGTGCAGTGGAGGATGGCCCAAGTGCTTGGACCTGCACCCCATGGGAGACCAGGAGAAGCACCTGGCTCCTGGCTTCGGATCAGCGCGGTGCGCCGGCCGCAGCGCGCCAGCCGTGGTGGCCACTGGAGGGTGAACCAACGGCAAAAGGAAGACCTTTCTCTCTGTCTCTCTCGGCTCCTGGCTTCAGATCAGCCCAGCTCCGGCCACTGCAACCATCTGAGGAGTGAACCAACGGATAGAAGACCCCTCTCTCTCTCTCTGCCTCTGATTTTCTCTCTGTGTAACTCTTTCAGATAAATAAATAAATCTTTTTAAAAAAAGAAAGGAAGAAGGAAGGAACTTGGGAACCATGGGGGCCCTGACCTCTTCCAGACCCCAGCCCCGTGCCTGCCGGGCTGTGATCTGAGTGAGGCCCGATTCTCCCTGCAGGGCTGCTCTGTGTCTGCCACACCTGTCAGTGTCCGCTGGCATGGTACTTGTCGGGGACTGCAAAGCTGTGTGCGTGTACCACAGATCTGGGCTGCTGCCTGCTATGTGCTCGCGCGTGGGAGCACACGCCGTCTCTCCTGCTGGCGCTCCCAGGCAGGCCGCTTGTGCCCCACTGTTCACTGCCCCCAGCACCGCCGCCACCCTCCGCACACAGGCTTCCCCAGGATGCGCTCCCAGAATCCCAAGGGTGCCCCGCCCAGCTGCAGGACCTCCCAGGGAGGCAGCGCGGGGCTCAGGGACAGCTTAGGGTCAAGCGGCCAGGCCACGCAGGAAGCAGATCTGGGCCTGGGACGCGTGGCTCCAGACTCGCGGCACCGCGAGTGACCGCACGTGTTACTGTTTCTCCCACTCTCCCGTCCTCTGGCACACTTCATGCGAGACTGTTCCAGGAGGATCTGGTGGTGCTGCCCGCGAGGGGCCAGCACTACGGCACAGCGGGTTCAGCTGGGGCTGACACACTGGCAGCCCGCACCGCAGTGCCAGCGCCCCGACTGCTCTGCTTCCATCCAGCACTGGCTAACGCACCTGGGAAGCCATGGGAGGCGGCCCAGGACTTGGGCCCCGACACTCCCGTGGGAGACCTAGACGGGACACCTGGCTCCTGGGGTTGGTTTCGCAAAGCTCTGGCTGTTTTGGCCATTTGGAGTGAACCAGTGGATGGGAGATCTGTCTCCCCCTTCCTCTCTCCCTCTGTCTTCCAAACACATTGACTAAATCTTCGAATCCTGGGGGTGTAGCACGGTGGTGCCAACAGGCTAAGCTGCTGCTTGGGACGCGCACGTGTCTGCTTCCGACCAAGGCGCCCGGGGAGGAGAGGCTGACGCTCCGAGCACCTGGGCCCCTGCCACCCAGCTGGGAGACCAGGACGGAGTCCCGGGCTCCTGGCCTCAGCCTGGCCCAGCCCTGGCTGCTGCGGGCACTTGGGGAGGGAGCCAGTGCACTGAAGGTCTCCGTCTCGCCCTCCCTGGGCCATTCTGCTTTACAATTAAACAAGCACTGATGTGAGCAGGGACGACCCCGCAGCGCCCTCTGGGGCCGCCTGGGGAACTGTCCATCGCCGAGTTCCCCTGTTCGTAGAGCAGGTTCCGATTTTCACTTGCTGTGCTGCCTTCTTCCTCCTCCGCTACCTTCCTGTCCATTCCAGGAGGGGAGGGGGCACAGTGCAGGCCTGGGGCTGAGGGAGGCGGGGCCCCGCCGGCTTATTTCATGGGTCTCCTTCCCGTCCCACAACATCGCAGCCGCGGCTGCAGACTGCATGGTTTCAGCGGCCTTGCAGGGGTTTTAAAAGAAACCCTCTCGCTCCTGCTGGGTTCTGCGCGCCCTGCAACGCCATCCTCGCACGTCTCAGGCCTGAGCTACGCAGAAGTGAGCGGAGTGCTTCAGGCCTTTGTAAGCTGCATTTCTTCTGTCGACTTAAAATGTCTAATGATAAGAAATGTCTTTAGGAGACAGGCTTGGAACCCTCTGGAGACCTCCTCTCTCCGGTGGAGGCCCTGCTCCCGCGGCTCGCCCGCGCCACTCCTGACGCACCGTGCCCGGTTCCAGCAGAGATGGACTGCGGGCGGCGGGCGGGTCAATCTCTCCCGCACCGTGCTCCCCCTCCGTATGTGCAGGTCCCGGTGCAGGCACACCCGCGACAGTGCCCCTCCGCCTATTCTGTCCCCAGCTGCCGCCTCCGCCTCCCTCCCGGGCGCCAGGCTGACTCCCGTCTACGCACTTCCTCCTGTCCTGGTAGTCGCTTTGACACAGGCGGCTACACGTAGGGCGGCTGTCTGCTAAAGACTCAGTTTTGCTTATCCCGTGAGGGGACACAGAGCTTTCTTTGGCTGTCACAGCCACAGACCTGCTGAGGAGCACCTGGGGGCCGGCCTGGGCCTGGCACACCTGCGTGCTCCCAGCCCCTCCATACCACCGCACGTGGCTTCTCTGCTCGCCTGGAACAAGCATGGTGGGGACCTGGGTGTCTCCACTCCACCCATTTCCTCCTCATCGCATGGCCACGGCCACGGCCACGGGTCCCGCCCGTCCCGTGCCTGTCTGAGCTGCCTCTCCAGCTGATTTTCGGGACAAACGAGCTGGCAGTGGCAGGCCTGGACCCGCCCCCCCGTGTGACTGACACACCGAGTGTCCTCAGCACACGGAGGGGAGCCTGCCTCTGACGCTGGAGGCGGGTCTGCAGGGCCGCGGGGACACTCACCCGCTCGTTCTTGTCCGTGCAGAAGAGCCTGGTGTGGTGCCGCTTCTGCACCACGATGAAGGTGATCCCCGGCTGGTAGTCCTTCTCCAGCTTGATGCAGGCCTCGCGGATGGCGAGCAGCTCGTGGTGGAGAACCTGGGGCCGGGAGGGACGCGCTCAGGGCCCCTCGCTCCTGGAACCCCCGGCAGCACGGCCGTGCAGCCCAGACGCGGTGCGGCCTCCCGGCCCCTCAGCGCGGTGCCAGCCGTGACTTCTCCCTCTGCAGGTGTCGTGCTAGAGAGGACTTGGGCTCGGGAGGCCCCGAGTTCAGACCCCAGCTCTTCACCAGCAGCTGTGGCTCCGGAAGAGCCCCGACCTCCGCTCCCCGGCCTCGCCCTGCCGGACCTCGCAGGGCAAGGCTAGCGGTGGCAGGCCAGGCACCTGGCACACTAGCACCAGCCCCGATGCCCCACAGGCAGTGAGCGGCCCCTGCTCACTTCCAGGTCGGACAGATGGACCCACACTCAACTGTCCCTGTCAACTACCATGCTATGACACTGCAACAAGACAGGCTGGTTCCGGGTCAGGAAAACCCAGCTGTGATTCCAAGACATCTGGAGGGTGTTTGCAGGGCGGTAAGAACCGGACGGCAGATCCCTCGTGCAGAACGGGTGCAGCGGGCACTCCGGGAGGAGGTCAGCACCAGGCTGGCCAGTGCAGGAGCAGCGGCCCTGTCCACCCAGGAGACCAGGACGGTGAGTGCACACGCCTTGTCCCAGGCCTCAGAGACACAGCAGGCCAGCTACCAAGGGTGCTCCCCCACCCGGCTGGGTCTTCCCTAGCACCGGGTGCGGCCCACACCGTATTTCTGCCTCTCTCCAAAAGCCCAGGTGGCGTGGAGAGAGCGGAGGCGGACGTGGCCCTCGCCGACAGGGAGAAACGTCAGCTCATTCATTGTCTGAGTTCCAGGCTGGGATGGCTCTGTTAGGCCAAGGCACCTTGACCTGACACCCCCCGCCCCCCCAAGGCAGCCTCGCTCCACCCCCAGCCCGCCCCTCGGCAAGAGCACTGCAGACGGCCAGGCCCCAACCCAGACACAGCCCTGCCTCTCTCCATCCCACCCCCCCGCTCCCCTCCTCTCCTCTGCCCCACCTCGGAAGCTGGCCGGGGCGGGCGAGGGCACCCACCTGCTGGAACTGGCCCTCGGAGACGCCGTCGCGGTAGAAGATGATGCGCGTGGGCTTGAAGCGCGTGGACTTGTAGAACTGGATGAGCAGCTCGCGCACCATGGCGGCCAGGTCCTGGATGATCTCCTGCCGGTGCTGCTGCACCCGCACGGTGGCGCAGTAGCGGTTGGGGTGGGCGTCCATGCTGCCCACGACCTGTGAGGACACACAGTGAGCGCCCTCTCGTGGCGCACACGCAGGACAGCTCCCGGGACGGACCTCCCACCGTGGTCAATGGCAATGACCAGCTACGCGAGCACTGGTGACGTCACTCCTCGTGTTTGGCGACGGGGCTTACAAGAACAGATACATAACAGAAAACGCGACGGCTCGGAAGCTCGTTCTGCTGGCCGTGGGCACACGTCGTTCACCAGCTCGAAGACAGCAAGCGGCGACGGTGCCTTAGGTTTCAGGACAAACAGCCCAGGCGCCAGGGCGGGTGGGGCATCCGGCAGGCCCCCGGGGGCCCCCACCCCCGCTGCTCCCCTCCTGCTCTGGGAGCGCTCAGAAGGAAACCTCTGGTGCCCCAGAGGCAGGGACTGCTTCCCGGAGTCTCTCCCCTGGAAGGCCTCACCCCTGCCTTGGGACGAACTCTCCCTCCCGCTCCACGTCCTGGGTCCTGCCTCAGGCTCTGCTTTTTCTCTCAAACCAAGAGAACAAACTGGCTCCGACACATTTCAAGTTGGGGCAAACAAACGCGTCACCACAGACACACATCTGTGGCTGCCGATCTAGAGCCGGGCCAGAGAACGCACCGGCCCCTGCCCCTCCGCAGCCTAGGGACGAGGCGCCCAGGGCCAGCAGGAGTGGGGAGTCACGGGCACCCCTCTGCACACCGGAGAGCGCCCTGGGGGAAAGGCTGTGGGGCCGCCCGGGGCACCGCGGGCCGCTCAGCACTCCGCCTTCCAGAGCTTGCAAACCACTCATTGAAGAGTGAGCCGCCTGGGTCAGGTTTTGTTTGTTTGTTTGTTTTTTAAATAAAAGGCCAACAGGCAAGGGCACTGGCTCCTGAGAAGCAGCCACGGAAGAGCTGACGCCCGGGCCGCACGGGGGAGCGCAGGGGCACTGGCCAGGACGCTGTACTGAGGGCCAGGACGCTGTACTGAGGGCCAGGACGCTGTACTGAGGGCCAGGACGCTGTACTGAGGGCAGGGGCACTGGCCAGGACGCTGTACTGAGGGCCAGGACGCTGTACTGAGGGCCAGGACACTGTACTGAGGGCCAGGACACTGTACTGAGGGCAGGGGCACTCCCCGGCCAGGACACTGTACTGAGGGCAGGGGCACTCCCCGGCCAGGACACTGTACTGAGGGCAGGGGCACTCCCCGGCCAGGACGCTGTACTGAGGGCAGGGGCACTCCCTGGCCTGGACACTGTGCGGGAAAGGGCGGACTCTATTGACAGTCTGGTTAATGCTTCATTTGGCTTAGCATCTGCTGCCAGGGCTACAAATCTCCGATCTCAGTGGAGCAGCAGGGGAGCCCCCAAAAGGCTGTAGGCAGCCCTCGTCTGGCTTAGGGTCTTCTGGGCTGGGCGGCCTCAGAGCCCCGGACTTCGCCCCTCCAAGCACCCACTGGCCACAAGACTGCTCTCAGCAGCTGGCAGTCCGGTAAGCCCCACGCCTCTCAACACCACCAGGCCCCCGCAGGAGGGTGTCCCCGAGAGAGGGCCCTAAGCACACTCACGGCAGCGATCGAGGGCTTCTTGCCATCCCCAGCGGGTGGGTGAGTGACATCTGCACCCAGAAATATGACCGGCTGCTGGAACACGGGGGGCCTGTGGGGAGAAGCTGGCGTGAGCGGCAGGCACCTGACCTGGGGCCGAGGGCAGCGTGGTAAAGCTTGCAAATCCATCGAGGGCAAGCAGACAGGACATGCGAGAGGAAGCCTGAGAGGGAGCCCATGCATGCTGACCATCCGTGCACGCCCACACCGCTACCTCCGTGCACGCTGACCATCCGTGCACGCCCACAGCGCTACCTCCGTGCACGCCCACAGCGCTACCTCCGTGTACGCTCACACCGCTACCTCCGTGCACGCTGACCGTGTACGCTCACACCGCTACCTCCGGGCACTCCATGGACTGTCCGTGTAAACTCACACCACTACCTCCGTGCACGCTGACCGTCCGTGCACACTCACACCGCTACCTCCGTGCACGCTGACCGTCCGTGCACACCCACACCGCTACCTCCGGGCACTCCATGGACTGTCCGTGCACACTCACACCGCTACCTCCGTGCACGCTGACTGTCCGCTCCCGCGGCCCCTGTGCTGGAGACGGCTGCCCTGTGGACGTGCTGGCATGCCTGTGGAGCACTCTGAAGGGCACGGGGAGGACTCCGTCTCACTCGACAGAGGGCTCCACTCCGCAGCACAAGGGCAGCTGGGGACCGTCCTGGGGCTGCTGCGCACATACAGGCGGGTTCCAGAACCTTCCTCAGCCTCTCCAAGCTCCCCGCCCACACCCCACAGAAAAGGAGCAGCCTTGTTGGGGGACACGGACTGTGGGCTGCTCCCCTCCCCCACAGTGCTCCGCTCAGTCCCGAGGGCACAGGCAGTGTGCAGAGCACTGGGCCAGTCCACTGGCCAGGAAACCCAAGTTGCGGGAGTGGGGCAAGAACCAGGTCCTGGTGGAACCATGCGGCTAGGCACTTGCACCATACATGGTCCAGGACTGCTGGCCAGAATCTGCAGAGGACAGGGGACAGGAGCCACCAGGAGCTACCACCAGGCTCCCGGAAGCAGAGGGCCCAGCAGAGCAGTGACAGAGGGGCCAAGGAGGGCACCCCCCACTTCCCGCTCCCTTCCCAGGTGGCAACGCTCTGTGTGCGGGGCTGTGTGCACCTGTGATCCCAGCTGAGCTACGCCCCTGCACTCACGGCAGCCTCATGTGGCACAGGGGCCTGGGGCTGGCACAGGTATGCCTGCTGGGCACTGTCACCCGCCTGGGCAGTGAGCTGGGGGTCCCCATAGGAAGCAGTCCCACCCCCACCCCACCCCGTGCCTCGAGTGCTGCTAGCGAGGGGAGAGGAGTGCGTGAGGGTCTCATCTGTGTGCTTCCACGTCTCAAGGTCCACAACAGGTGGGCAAGACTCCCCTTCAATGCAGCTGGGCCTCTCCTGCCCGGGGCTGTGCGCCGGCCCCTCTGGGAGTGCCGGGCAGACGCTGGGCAGGTGCGCGCTGTTCCCTGCCCGCCCTGTTTTGTGGAACCTCTTGGAAGGCAGCACATGCGCACAGACACCGCCTCACTGTCCACAACTCACAGTGGCCGGAAGCCACTGAAGCCACTGCTGGGGGCCCTGACCGCACAGGGCCTGCAGGGCACCCTCCACAAGCCCCACACCGGCTGGGCCGCACCTTGGACAATGCCACGCCTGCCCTCGCTGCCTCCCCTCCCTGCTTGTCCCACGCAAAGCTCCCCGAGCTAGCTGAACCTGTCGGGCCCCTTCCACGCGGAGGCGGGCTGCCGCGGCAACGAGACGGCCCGGCATTGGACGCAGGACGCACTTGCGCAGCCGTCTGGGACCTGGCTGTCTCCCAGCCTCCCTGCTTCCGTCTCCCCGGCTGGTGGCTGGCGTCTCGGCCCCTGAACCTCAAGTGCCCCAGGAGCAGGGGCCTCACCTCACCCAGCTACACTCCCTCGAGACACCTGCCCCGTGCTGAGGACCCCTAATTTCCGCCTTCCGCTCCTGTGGTCTCCCTGCTGTCTCCCGCAGGGGCTCGGGGCCCTGGAGCCATCCTGGTTCCTCTCTTTCCTTCACAGCCCGTGAGCTGAGAAAGCTCCATCTTCACACGCCCCAGGCCAGGAACGCTCTCCGTGGGTTAGCGGGAGCGTCTCACCTCTGCTGGCCTCTTGGATCAGGTCACCCGGGAGGCCGCAATGGCCCAGTCCCGCGGGCAGCACTCCTCTGCTCTCACGGCCCGCACACCTCCACCGCACACCCGACACTCCTGGCAGGCTCCCGCCGGGTCCCCTGCTCTCGCTCCACCCTCTCCAGGCCCTCCCCTCCCGAGCTGCCGTGCCCTCGGCCTCGCTCTGCTGCTCTGCGTGTTACAGCCGTCTGGGTCCCTCCACTGGGCTCCTGCCCCAGACTCGGCCGAGCCCGCTCCCGTCGCCCCCAGGACTTGCACAGGACCAAGCCACAGCACGGAGCCGACATCAAGGTCCAAGCCCATGTGACTGCAGACACGGGCTCTGTGCCTGATATCGTTCAAGAGGGCCCTGCAGTCAGTGAGGTCAGGGTCAGGGGGGCTCAGCCAGTGTGCTCAGGGTCAGGAACCCTGCAGTCAGTGTGCTCAGGATCGGTGGGGCTCGGTAAGTGAGGTCAGGGTCAGGGGGGCTCAGCCAGTGTGCTCAGGGTCAGGAGCCCTGCAGTCAATGTGCTCAGGGTCGGGGGGGCTCAGTCAGTGTGCTCAGGGTCAGGGGGGCTCGGTCAGTGAGGTCAGGGTCAGAGGGCTCAGTCAGTGAGGTCAGGGTCAGGGGGGCTCGGTCAGTGTCGGGGGGCTCAGTGTGCTCAGGGTCAGGGGGGCTCGGTCAGTGTGCTCAGGGTCAGGGGGGCTCAGTCAGTGTCAGGGGGGCTCAGTGTGCTCAGGGTCAGGGGGGCTCGGTCAGTGTGCTCAGGGTCAGGGGGGCTCAGTCAGTGTGCTCAGGGTCAGGAGCCCTGCAGTCAGTGAGGTCAGGGTCAGGGGGGCTCGGTCAGTGAGGTCAGGGTCAGGGGGCCTCGGTCAGGGTCAGGGGGGCTCAGTCAGTGTGCTCAGGGTCAGGGGGGCTCAGTCAGTGTGGTCAGGGTCAGGGGGGCTCGGTCAGTGAGGTTAGGGTCAGGGAGGCTCGGTCAGTGTGGTCAGGGTCAGGGGGGCTCAGTCAGTGTGGTCAGGGTCGGGGGGGGAGGTCCAGTTAGGGCTCCGAGTGTGCTGCCAGTGCAGCCATCTCAGGACGGTGGTGTGACACCTGTTAGGATCGCAAGGCCTTGTGCCCCACCAGGACACAGTCAGGAACCCTGTGGCAGGCGGCCAGCCAGGGCCCTGGTTCCTTCAGGCTGGGCCTTTGCCCCGCTGCTCAACACAGCTTCTACTGCTCCAGGGCCAGGAGGCCACCCCCCGGCCATGTCAGGGGCAGCCTCGAGCCCCTCCGCCCCGCCCCCGCCCCGCCGCCCAGCGCTGTCAGGCCCCACGTCTGCCGGCCGGCCCGCCCTCACCTGCCCTGCGGGAGCAGGATGTTGTTCACGCCGCCCAGCTTCACGTTGATCTTCAGGCAGAGGTTGGACAGCGTCTGCGGCGTGGTCCTCTGCACGTTCTTCATCTGCACGCACTGCGTGGCCATGCCCAGCACCGTGTCCCCGACGCGCTTCACTTCAGCTGAGGACACCAGAGGCACACACGGCACATCTCGCTGGCACCTGGTTCTCCACGCAGCTGGCCCCAGCCCGCCGCCCCACCCGCCCCGGCGGCCTCGCAGGGAGGGGAGGCGGAGGTCCCCGTCCCACCCTCATCAGAAAGGGACGCTGGGCAGGCCCCTCCCGCTCCGCCAGCACAGGCAGCACCGCGGGCTCGGGATTCCTGCGCGGGACGACACCTATCAAAGGGCTCGCGCCAGCACGCACACTCGCGCTGTTAAAAATAAGCGGAGCAGCTCCTCAATCCCTGGCAGATGCGAATCTGACATCAAAGAGCCGCGCGGCCGCCCCACCCGGGACGCTTCCAGGAGGCAGCTGGGCGGCGCTCCCTGGCAGCTCCGGAAACGGTGACGCCGGGCCGGTATTAATAGCGCCGACGCCAGCGCTCCTCTCGCCTGCTTTTTTTGGAGGTTGGGCTTGGCGGCCAGCAGCACGGCGCTCACGCGTCCGCGGTCTGTCCCTGGCTGGACAGCAGTCCCTGGAGACCGCCGTGGCATCCCGGGCGGCTCCCTCTGCCCCAGGCACCCCCGCCACTCCCGCCTGCCGCCTGGGGCCTTCCTGAACAGAGGGGCCGTGCGTGGCTTATCTCTGCCTTCCAGGGGCTCAGGCCACAGTAGCTGCCTCAATGGGAGCTCTGTGACATCCGTCCCCAGAGTGCAGGTGGGCACGGGGCGCCAGCAGACGCCGCCACAAGCCCCGGGGTTGCTGGGTCCCCTGGACTGTGACTTGGACAGGACACGGTGGGGCCCTGAGCCCTGACACATGGGGCCCGACGGCGACCCAGCCAGGGGCGCAGGCCGCACGCACAGCCAGAGACGCGCGAGCCCGCGGGCACCAACCGTAGACGGGCGTCTTCCCGGGCAGGATCACCACCACCAGCTGCAGCCCGGCGTACGTGTTCTTCAGGTGTCTGAACATGGGCTCCACGCTGTCGGCCCCCTGCGCGTACTTGCAGAAGCACGGCTGGCCCTGGATCGGCATGCCCGCGTCTCTCGAGATCTTCCTCAGCTGCTCTGTAAAGGACCTGGGGACCCGGCTCGCGTCACCGAGGGGCACCCACCGTGCGGGACCACAGAGCCAGGCCACGCCCCGGACACACACAACCCACAGGTCCGGCAGCACCGGCAGCTCGGGAGGCAGGGAGCCCGGTCAACAGCTCCTGTGTTGGGTCTAAGAATAAAGCCTGGGCCCCGCTGTGGTGTGGCAGATAAGCCGGCATCGCACACGGGCCCAGGCTCATGTCCTGTCCACTCTGCTTCCAACAGGGCTCCCGGCTGACGTGCCGTGGAAAGCAGCGGAAGGTGGCCCAGGCGCTCGGCCCCCGCCACCCACGTGGGAGATCTGGATGGAAAAATCTTCCTATTTTTTTTTTTTTTCTTATTGACAGGCAGAGTTAGACAATGAGAGAGAGAGAGAGAGAGAAAGGTCTTCCTTCCGCTGCTTCATCTCCCAAATGGCTGCCACAGCCGGCGCTGTGCCAATCCGAAGCCAGGAGCCAGGTGCTTCCTCCTGGTCTCCCATGCGGGTGCAGGGCCCAAGCACCTGGGCCATCCTCCACTGCCTTCCTGGACCACAGCAGAGAGCTGGCCTGGAAGAGGGGCAACTGGGACAGACTCTGGCACCCCGACCGGGACCAGAACCCGGGGTGCCAGCGCTGCAGGCGGAGAATTAGCCTAGTGAGCCATGGTGCCGGCCAAAGTCTTCCTATTTTTTAAAACAGTTATTTATTTATTTGGAAGTCAGAGATACAGAAAGAGCGGGAGAGACAGGACCTTCCATCCTCTGGTTCACTCCCAGATGGCTGCAACAGCTGGGACTGGATCAGACCGAAGTCAGCAGCCAGGAGCTCCTCCCATGTGGGCAGCAGGGGCCCAAGCACTCGGGCCACCCTCTGCTGCTTTCCCTAGACCAGCAACAGGGAGCTGGCTCAGAAGTGGAGAAGCCGGGACCTGAACCGGGGCCAACGAGCTGCTGGCATTGCAGGCAGTGGCTTTACCCACTCTGCCACGATGCCAGCACCTCAAATAATCAATCACATTGCCTTCTACCCTAAGCAGGGAGCGCTGGGATGCAGCGGTGACTCGCTGAAGTGTTCAGTTTCTCACGTATCACGGCAGCTAAGAAAACGTATGTGGGTGACCTCTCTCTTATTTAGTTATTTTCATTGCATTTGAAAGGTATAGAGACTGATGGTTCACTCCCCAAATGCCTTCTGCAGCTGGGGCAGGGGCGGGGGTGGGGCCGAGACAGGCTCACGATAGGGGCCTGGAACTCCCTCCGGGTCCCCCGTGGTGCGCAGGCACCTGCTGCCTCCCAGGGTGTGCGGCGGCAGGAAGCCGGACCAGGAGCAGAACCTGTAGCAGCGCCAGGCCCTGACCCGGCGCTGCCGTACGGGACGTGGCATCTTGAGCAGTGCCTCGAGCCCCTGGGCCACAACACCCACCCGCCAAGTCCGTGTTGGTTCCTAAACCCGTCTCTGCGTTTCCAGCTCATCCTCTGGCAGGCTCTGAGGACACCGGCCCGAGATCCACGGCCTCTGAGCGTGGCCCCTTGCTGGAATGACCGTGTATGGCGAGGCCCCTGGATTTCGATTCTTCTCACTCTCGCTCTAAGTCTGTCTGACTGGGACCAGCGCTGTGGCACAGCAGGGGAAGCTGCCGCCTGCCGCACAGGCTTCCCATTTGGGCTCTGGTTCGAGTCCCGCTGCTCCACTACTGATCCAGCTTCCTGCTAACGTGCTTGGGAAGGCAGCACGAGATGATCCAAGTGCTGGGGCCCTGCACCCACGTGCGAGACCTGGAAGAAGCCCCTGGCTTGGGCCTGGCTGTTGTGGCCATTAGGTGAGTGAACCAATAGGTGCAAACTCGCTCCCCCCCCTCTAACTCTTTCAAATAAATAAATAAATAAATAAATCTTTGTGTGACCCCAAAGCAGAAGCCACGTCCGCCAGCAGCCCTCTCTGCCGGGGCCCCGCGCCTCGCCAGCACCCCGACGGCGCCCTCTCTTCTGAAGCCCCCGCCCGCGGAGGGAGCCGCCCAGCCTCCTGGGCCCCTGCTCACTTAGTTCCCAGAAGCACGACGCTGAGGGGCTTCTATGGGCGTTCCAGGTCACTGCTTGCTACTTCCTCTACCGCCTGCGTGCTCACCCCGCCCAGGCCCAGGGGTCCCAGCTCTCGAGGGGCTTACTTAAGGTGGACTTCCGTGCACTGGCGCTGGGGCGCGAAGCAGGCGATGGCCCACACCTTGATCTCGATGCCCGTGTGGAACTGCTTGTTCCTCATGTCCCACACGCCCTGCACGGGCGTGGCGATCGCCTTATTCTGCAGTGACGAGACCTCAGAGTGAGGAAACGCGGGAGACGTGCTCCCCTGGACTTGACCTTTCCCACTCCCGCTGCTGTTCCCAGACCGACAGGGGCCCCCAAGGACAGGAGCCTAACCGTGGGTGTGTCTCCCATCTGTGACCTGCCCAGCACTGCTGGCAACCTGCACAGATTTGTAGAACGGGCAGCTGAGGTGGGGGCGCGGGCAGAGCAGGCTGGAGAAGAGAAGGACAGACGGGGCGGACGGACACGCGGACAGAGCCGGATGGACAGACGGGGCGGACGGACACGTGGACAGAGCCGGATGCAGGACGGATGGGGGTGGACGGAGGGTGGACAGAGCAGTGGGGCACGGGGGTGCTGCACTGTACGAAGACAGCGAGGGCAGCGAGGGCAGCAGGATGGGCCGGGAAACAGCCCGCGAGGACTGCTGTGCAGCTCTCCGGCCAGTCACAGACGGAGGCGCCTCTCACGGGAGCGAGCAGCACATGGCGGAGCGGCTGTCTGGCTTTGTCATCCCCCAGTGACACAGGAGCAGCCCTCCACGTTGCCTTCGGGCAGTTCTCAAGGACGAGGGCCGGGACAGGAAGGGCCAGGTGTTGAGGGGGTGCAGCCTGAGGCCCGCGGCACCACCGCAGGACCTGGCAGGGCCCAGCTGCCAGCAGGGGCTCCAGGGGCTCCATGCCAGCCTGCGGGGAACTCAAACACACTCCACAAACGATGCCTGTGTCTCCTGGACGGCCCCACGGGCTCGGGCGCGTGGGGCTGGACGGTGCGCTGCTGTGGGCTGCAAACAGCCCAACACCAGGCTGCCGTGTGCACCGAGGGGCGGCTGCACCAGCCTCAGTAAAACAAGGCGACACGGGTTGGGGTCCAACTACGGGAGGGGCCTTTGAAATTCTGACGGGATCACAAAAGTTGGGGCCCATTCAGACATCCTGGAACGTGCGAGGGGACCAGGGAAGGCGAGCACTCCGTGAAGTCTGACTGCCTGGCACCTGACCTCGGTCCACACCGCCGGGGAGGGCCCTGTCCCTGCCGCGGCCACGCCCACGCCCACGCCCCCCCCACACCTACCCGGCCCCCGTACAGGATGGAGGGCGGCTGCAGGACCCGCCCCGTCACGTCCGTCATCTCGTCTTTCACCATGATTCCGAACTCGCGGACGTACGGATCTGTGTTGAAGCTCGCGCTTCGCATCTGCGGGAGGGAACAGGAGCGCGGGTGAGGCGGGGCCTCTGCGGCCTCTGGCGCCCTCCCGCCACCGCCCGCGGACGCCGCGCTCACCAACTTGCTGATCTCTTCTTGCCGATCGGGCGCAGACCTGGCGGTCGCTCTGATCATAGTTGAGGTTTGATTGTCCGTTAATTTTTTTATACATCTCTGTCCGGCCACTATGTTGCAGACCTACGGGAAGAGGCGGCGACAGGTGTCAACTCCAGGGCGGGGGTCCGGGAGCCGGCGGGTGCCTCGTCCTCCACAGGCACCGCTGGCTTACCACGGAACCCCTGGCATGGGGCCAGCCTGGAACCCACGGCCTCTGCAGCTGGCTGCGTCCCGCCCCCCAGAGCCAAGTGCCCGGTGGACGGACACTGGCTGCAGACGCAAAGGGAGGCGGGGGGAGGGGAGGAGCCCTGACGGAGCCAACCAGAGACCCCCGAGAAGTAAACTCTAAAGGAAAACAGGGTGGCTTTCCTACTATCAGCATTTCATTTTTTCCCAAGGCAAGTAAGTTAGTTGTTTTTTTTTTTTTTTTTTTTTGTTCTATTTGAGAGGGGGAGAGAGAGAGAGACAGGGGTGGGCGGAGGGCCCCAGGGCGTCCCTCCGAGACTTGCCTCCAGGGGAAGGTAGGTGTGCTTCTGCTCCTGTCCCACTTGCAGGCACGGGAGGTGGGGGTAGCGCAGAACCAGCTTGTGCCTGTCCTTGAAGTACTGGGCCACCGTGCACTCCACCGTCTGCCCGCTCTCTTGCTGCAGAGGGAACCTGGGGGCAGAGCGGCGGCTCAGGCGGGCGAGGTCCCGGGCTCCCTGCACTGGCCGCTCACCTGTGTCTGCTTCTCAGGTGTGTGTGGGGTGCAAACACTCACAGCACCTCCCGAGAGTCAAAACCAAATCGAGTCACCTGCAATATTCCGGCGCCCCTAACTCACTGTGCTGTGTCTGAGCTGAGAAGTACGCCCGCTGGCGCCGCCAGCACCCCTACCCAGCGTCACAGCACGTGGAAAGGGTTTGGGGCAGAGGAGGGCAAATCTGCAAAGGGTGGTGGGGCCTCGCCAGCAGCCCGCAGGGACTCTGAAAGTCAGTCAGGTGCCGAGCCCCAGGCCCCCAGGAGCTGGAGCTCCCAGGACGGGGCGAGGAGGGGCGGGGCTGAGGCGGGAAGGGACGCCCGAGTGCAGGCATGGGAGGCAGAGGTGGTGCTGCCGCCAGGTGCAGAACTCGCGTGGGGACAAGGCCACGTGCACCAGCTTCTGTGCCGACTGCTCTGCGTGCCCTGACCACACGGCCTCTGACCAGGAGAGACGGCAGGACCAGCCTGCTGCTTGCCGGGGCCCTGGGCACTTGCCATGGGACACAAACCAGTCCTCCCTGGACACAGGGCGTACCTTCCTGGTACTGCAAAATTTGGGCAGCCCCTCCCTCCCTCCCTCAGGCAGAATTTGAGCGTCTCCGAGGGGTCGTCTGGGCTCTGCGGAGCCGTGCAGCCCACAGCCCGGGCACCTGCAAAGGGGAGGCGGCTTACGTCTGGTGGCTGGCGGGCCGCCGGGTCACGTTGCAGACGCGGTACTTCCTCTTCATCTGCCCACAGTGCGTTATCTCCACCTTCAGACCTGGGGACGGAGGGCGTGGGTGCCTGTGCTCACCCTGCACCTGCAGGCCCAGCTCTGCTGCACAGAACCCGCCCTCCCGGGAGCCGGCTGCACGCCCAGTCCTGCACGACTCCACGGCCACAGCTGGATCCACCTCCCACCCACGCGCTCCCATCACCCGGCCCGGGGACCACGTGGGCTTGGGCGCAGCGGGGACGTCAGACATGGGGACTGCTGGGCCTTGCTAGGTTGTTTGGGACAGAATACTTAACTCCAACGCCTGGCACACAGAGGCCCAACTAGGAAACACCTGAGGGGTCATGTCCGAATTTTACGGCCTGGGGTTCGGCTGGCCTTTCTTTTTTCCCCTCAAAGATGTATGGATTTGAATGTCAGATTTACAGAGAGTGAGTTTCCATCCACCGGTTCACACCCCAAACGGCTGCAATGGCCAGGGCTGGGCCAGGCTGAAGCCGGGAGTCAGGAGCTTCATCTGGGGCTCCCGTGTGTGTACGGGGGCCCGAGGACTTGGGACACCTTCTACTGCTTTCCCAGGCCACAGGAGGGAGCTGGGTGGGAAGTGCAGCAGCTGGAACTTCAAACGGTGCCCATATGGGATACCTGCACTGCAGGCAGTGGCTTCACCTGCTGTGCCACAGCACTGGCCCCCGGCTCTGACCCTTGACAGCCGCCTGCCTGTCTGGGAAGTGTGAGCTGATAAGGGGGCTTCGTAAACTGGTAAATATGATAAACACCCATCATGGGGCGTCCTGCCCAGCCGTGCAAACCTACTGGCTGTGGACATGGGCTCTGCGTGTACACACGACCCTCCCCGGGCTGTGCACGTGGGCTCTGCGTGTACACACGACCCTTCCCGGTCCAGGGTATAAAAAGACAACCACCCATCCACGGAGTCTGAGCTTTCTTGTGGTCCCCACTTGCTGTCCAAGTGGATCCCCTCCCTGCCTTCGTGATACTCTGTTCTCAAAGGCCGGGAACCAGCAGGCAGCACGCGGGCTCACGTCGAGCGCGGCTTCGGCCTCACCATGTCTGCGCCCCCGTCTGCTGTTCAGGGGCAGCGGGAGGCCTTGAACCCCCGACCTGCCAGGGCTGTGAGAGACACCAGCCTCATGTTCCAGAATGTTCTGAAACACAGGCCTCACCTGGAGGCCAGTTCCCGCCACCCACTCCCGGAACGCCGCTCCTGCCCACGCCTGACGCACGCGGTCTTTTACCTTTGATTTCTTTGGTAAACTTGACCCTTTGGGAATCTGTCAGAGGTTTCTGTTGTTCTTCAATGCTTTTAAAATCCAGAACTTCACACACAAACTCGATTACTGGCTGCGCCTTGTAGAATGCCGTCGCTGACACTGCGGGTGGAGACGAGAGCGTGACCCGAGCGCCGATGCTCGATCGGCTCGGGCCGGCCAGGCCGACCCTGGGCTCGAACAGGCCAAGCAGACAAGCCCCGAGGAGGCTCCCTCCGGCCATCGCACCAGCAGGTCACCCTCTGAGAGCAAGGATGGGCTTAAAACAAATAACACCTAACAGATTCCGACAAGCACAAGCCTCGGATGCGACAGGACTGTCTGTCTATGGGCACGGGTTTTTTTTTATCATAACACCTACTATTCACTCAAATACAATTCTGCTTCGATAAATGCATATCTGAACAAGATGTGACTGTCGAGTCTTTCTGGGCTTTTCATAACTTCTCAAATGAGGAGACAGAAACTCCTTTTCTGACCTTCACACTTTTCATTTTACTTACAGAGTTGGGAGGCAGAGGGGAGAGAGAGGGAAGTTCACTCCTGGCGCCAGGAGAAGGGAGCTCACTCCCACCAGGGTGGCAGGGACCCAAGTGCTTGCGCCATCACCTCTACCTCCCAGGGCCTCCAGGAGCAGGAAGCTGGACTGTGGGGCCAGAGCCAGGGACTGAACCCGGCACCTGCTATGGGACACAGGCACGTTAACTGCTGGTGCAACGTCTGCTCCTATGCTGTCTGTAACAGGCAAAGCGGAGGTCTGACACGGAGCAGCAACCGGGGTCTCCCAAAACAGCGACGGCAGCGCCCAGAGCTGAAAGGAGGTGTGCGAGCCGCCGGGGCCCGCAGGAGGTGCTGATCTCCGGGAAGAGGCCTCGCCCTGGCTGGCTCCTGCACACCTTCCCGCCGTACCCTGCAGCGAGGACCCCACGGCTGGGCTTACCGTCAATATTCAGCATCATTTTCCACAGAGAAGGTCGGACAGACTGGTGGAAGCCGAACCACACTTCCCGGCCCCCGCCAAGAGGGTTGGAGCAGCCCTCGGACGCGGTGAAGAAGGAGCGGCCCACAGGCGTGTACCTGAAACCAACAGGGCCCCGTCTGTCAGAGGCGTGCACGAGGGGGAGGCCGCTCCACGCTCGCTCGCCGCCCGTGCCACGCGCACGCACGGAGAGCTCTGACATTCACTGCACCACGCTCCTGTCTGCACCGTGGCCTACCCCGAGGGGACGCTGCACAAGCAGCAGCCTTGGGGGCTCCTGGCCTCGCTGCAGGGACAGCGAGACGCCCGGCGTCACCTGGCGGGGCCTCTCGGTCGCAGTGCTGGTGCGAGCCGGCCCGACGGCTGGCACCACGGCTCAGGGCCCGGGGCACGTGCGCGGCCCTGGCCCCACCTTCCCTCCCCCAAGGCCTCTGGTGCTTACTTTTCATCTGGTGGTGCAGGCATCTGTGCGCCTCAGCTCAAGTCTTTCTAGAATGGGCTGTGCTGTGTATAAAAGCACAGAGGAAAATGAGTGTTTGCTGAGAGCTGATGACCAGACAGAGGCCACTGGAGCAGCCCAGCCCCGGGCCCGGGGACACTTGCTGCCGCTGGCGACGGGGCTGCTGAGGGCCCCAGCACCCGTCCCCTGCTGTGCTCACTCCTCCTAGAGTGCCCCAAGGGTCGGGGGCAGTGACACACGGGGAGCTGACCCTACTGGCCGCAGCAGACCGTCTGCCGCCCACACCACATCGCCGCCAGGCGGCACGGGCGCCGGGGCCTGTCCCCAGGACAAGGCCGCATTCTGCCTGAGGCGCATCACTCCTGCCGCGCCACCTACGGCGTTTTCCACCCTGACTAGAGAATTCACACACAGACCCAGAGGAATGCAGAGCAGAGGAACCTCACAGTTCCCGCCACAGTGACACAGGCGGGCAGCCCCCGGCAGCCATCCGCCTCCGAGGCCTCCCGCCAGCAGCTCCAAGCAGAGACAGCCCACGGGCCAGGGTCCCTGCCAGGAGCGGGGGGCTGGACTTGGGTATCCTGGCTCTGGCCCCAGCCAGCACCGTGACTCCCTCTGAAAGCCACCATGTGGCCCTGTAGCACTTGCTCTGCGGCCGCTAAGGCAGCCCCAACCCTCCTTGGAGCTGAGTGCTGGCCAGCCAGGACAGTCCAGCGTGGAGGGCTCAAGCTGCGCTCCACGCCTGGGCACCCTCATGGACCCTGCGGCCCGAGCGGGTGCACTGCGAGGAAGGCCCGCCCGGTGCGAGGACCAGGCGTGCCCGGGCTGGCACTGTCCAGCTGTGGGCCCAGGGCGGGACCCCGATGGCTCCCTCCCCGTCCACCACGATTCCAAGGACGGGAACGGCTGGCGCACCGTGGAGCAGAGAAAGATAAAAGGCCTGGGGCGTGGCCGCGCTGCCAGCGACCCTGCAGAGCGGGTGGAGGCTCCCGGGGGCGGACACTCAGCAAAGGACACGCGGGGGACACTGCTGTCCCCAGGCCCATGGTGCCGCCCGGCACAGAGGGGTCATCTGTTCTGCAGGGCCAGCTCCACCGGGGGCTGTATCTCTTCCACCCCAGCACCGTTTATCACCTTGTGCCCAGCAAACCCGCACCGGCTCCCCCAACTCCAGAAGCGGCTCTCCTTGGACTGGCGGCAAACCGTGCGGGGAGCGCGCAGGACCGGCAGCAGGTGCCCCGGGCCCTCACCTCATGGATGGCAAATGCCTCATGACCACGTCCAGGGCCTGGATCGTCTCGAACGGGACGCTGGGCAGCCGCCCGGAAAGTGCGTCGTGCAGCGCCTGCAGGCTCACGCACGACACCCACTTGATGGACACCTTGAAGATGCGGTCCTTGCCTTCTCCCGGCAGCGTGACCTCCAGCTCCACCTGTGGGGCGAGGCGCACAGGTCAGTTTCGGAGCGCTCCTGGGGACAGGGAAACTCCCCTCGGTCCTGCCCGCCAGCGCCCACGTGTGGCCACACTGCATTTTGAACATTAGTTACCTTTCTTGTCTGCTCGCTCTTTGAAAGGCAGACATATCTCCCATCCTCTGGCTTGCTCCCCAAGGGACCGCGATGGCAGGAGCCGGGCCAGGCTGGAGCCTGGGAGCCCGGAGCTCCACGGCGGTCTCCCACTTGAGCCATCGCCTACCACAACCCCAGCAGAGGCGGATGGGAAGCGGCGGTGGGACCGGAACCTCGGCACTGACGTGGGATGAGAGCAGCCCGAGCAGCGCCCCGACCACCATGCCCAGCGCCACCTCCTGACTGCTCTCTAATGACGGCCATGCCAGAGCCCGCCTCAGCCCGTGGGGAGCCACACTCCCTGCCCGCGGCCACCCAGCTCACCACACTGCCAAGCTTCCCAGAGCCCCTGCCTTACCATGGACCAGACACTTTATCCCTAAATGCCAAACACGCCAGATGTAAACACATGCTCACGCTTTAAACACAGCCCAGGCCACAGCACTACGAATGGCAGGGAAAGGCTGTGACCCTGGCTGGTTCCACGCCACAGGCCCTCGCTGTAGGGCCGTGGCCACAGCTGCCCGGCCACACTCCTATCCCAGCCCAGGTGCTTGTAACACCTGCCACCACTCAGGGACACAGCACACTGCCAGGTATGGCGCTACCTGCTGGAGCAGGCGTGTTTGTGCAGGTGGCCCACCTGCTACGTCTTGGCCCAGCCTCAGAGGGCAGCGAGCAGACTCTGCAGCGGCTGCCTGAGCAGCTGAGCCCCAGGCGGGGGCCTGAGCCTCCCCAGCACTGCCAGTCCTCAGGCCCAGCAGCACTCACAGCACCGCTGCACCTGCTGGCCCCAAGCCGCAGATGTCCCATGGGTCCACCCAGAGGCCGGCAGTGAGGAGATGGACAGGCTGCAAGAACCGAACACCCTGGCGGGCAGTGTGTCTGCCGGAGCGCGCCCTGCTCTCGTGCCTGGAGGCAGCAGGTGACGTTCCAAACACCTGAGCTCCTGCCATCCACGTGGGAGACCCAGTGGAGTTCTGGACTGCTGGCTTTGGACTGTTACGGGAATTTAGAGATAAAAATCGGCAGATGGAAGATCTCTGACACTCTGCCATTCAAGTAGATGAAAACAAACATTAAGACAAGAGAGACTTGGGGCTGGCACGTGGCGTGGTGGGTAAAGCCACAGCTCGCCGCACTGCTGCCCTGTAGGGACACCTGTGGGAGTACTGGCTGCTCTGCCTTCCGATTCTGCTCCCTGCCAATGGCCTGGGAGAAAGAGCAGAAGGTGGCCCAGCACTGGGCCCCTACACCCACATGGGAGACCCAGACGGGGCTCCTGGCCTCAGCCTGGCTCAGCCCTGTCATTGTAGCCACTTGGGAAGTGAACCAGGAGATGGAAGATCAATCTCTCTCTCTCTCTGGAACGCTGCCTTTCAAATAAATCAATCTTGAGAGAGAGAGAGAGAGAGAGAGAGAGAGAGACAGACACTCTCCTCCCACCGAGAGCCCCCAGGGAGGACAGCGGCCGAGGCCCCGCAGACCCTGCGTGGTCGGAGCACAGCCGGGGCGCACACAGCGGCCTCACCCCGAGCAGGAAGGGAACTGCGACTTTACCCAAGTCACGTAAAAGCAACAGCAGCGACAGAGGAGTCTGGGTGTGCTGACACTGAGACAGGCGTTGGCCAGGCGTCAGTTCCAACACCCAGGCCTCCTCTGCTTTCAGTTAAGGGAACAGATCCCCGGAGGCCAAACAGGCGCCCCACACCACACAGGCAACAGGACTCCAGGAAAGCGGCCAGCGTCTGGCGTGAGCAGGGCCGGTGGCATGGCTGCCAGGAGCAGGGCAGAGCTCAGGTGGACTGGGCCGGGCCTGGTTCCACGGACAGAGGCCACAGGCAGCAGGGAAGGAGGGCAGTCCCCGTGTCCAGAAACGACACCCAAAGGCGGCAGGGTGCGCAGGTGACTGGTGAGCAACCCGCATGGACGGGGCCCAGGAGCCAGCCCCACCCAGCAGCACTAGCGAGAGCTGGTGCCCACCGCACACTTCTACGTGCTCCTTAGGAAGGACTCTGGGAGGGACCGGCGCCTGGCGCCGCAGGTAAAGCCACTGCCTGTGATGCCGGTACCCGACACGGGCGCCAGATTAGTCCCAGCTGCTCCACTTTGGATTCAGCTCCCTGCTGGTGGCCTGGGAAAGCAGTGAAAGATGGCCCAAGTGCGTGGGTCCCTGCACCCACATGGGAGACCCAGAGGAAGCTCCTGGCTCCCGGCTCTGGCCTGGTGCAGCCCCAGCCGTTGCAGCCTTTTGGGGAGTGAACCAGTGGACAAGCTCTCTCCCTCTGTCACTCTGCCCTTCAAGTAAAGAAGTCGCTGTGGGATGCGGTGACTGCCCCATTCTGAATGCGTAGCACACACGGCACGCAGCATGCGGACGGCGCAGACGCCTGTCGGAAAGCCCCAGGGTGGGGGCGGCACAGGAAGGCCCCCCGTTTGGGAGAAAGCCAGGGGAGCCGCATTTCTAGGAACACAAACACGGGGCAAGAGAAGTCGCCGCGTCTGCAAGGGTTTCCGTGCCTGGAACATGGCCGCTGCGGAGGAGTGGAGCGCCCGTGGTGAGGATTCTCCCGGGCCACCCTCGCCGCACCTGCCAGCCAGCCAGAGCGACAGCTGCAGGCCTCCCTGCCACAGGCCCTCTCCAGGGAGGGAGTCGGGAGGCGTCCAGTTTATGTGCACCCAGAGAGCTGACGTCCACAGGCCTTCCTGGGCAAGCACACTGCTGCCCCCAAAACACAGTGGGAGAGCCCCGGTCTGCCTGGCGTGCCCACAGACACGGAGCCCCTCCCGTTCAGGGTGAGGCACCCGGACCGACGCACACTGCAGCATCCCCGGAGGGACCCTCAGCCTCCAGTAGAGCCCCCGTCCCCCGCCTCCGCTCCCGGAGCAGCAGTGCCCAGTGCCTGACTGCCCGTGCTACCGGGTACCTTCCAGGCCATGCCAGCAGGCACGGGGCTGGACACAGAAGCCCGGCACGACACGGCACTGCTTCGAGGCAGGGTCTGTCCAGGATCTGAGCCGTGCGCCTCCTGGCTGCTAGCGAGAGGCTGTCACTCGCCCAGAAAGACCCAGGGCTGCAGCCAGAGCCGGGGCAGCAGACCCACAAGTCCTATCAAGCCACTGAGAAAACGGCCCCAGGAATGAAGCTCTGGGCTTTGAGCACCTTCTACGGCTTCCTGGGCCCCCGTCTCTCCCCAGGCAGGGGCTGGCCCTGCAGTGGGAGGGGCTGTGGGTGGAGAGGAGCCCGCCGAGGACAGCAGGGAAAGGCGTCACACAGCATAGGGCAGGCAGGGACGCGGCGGGCGACGGCAAGTCCTTGGGTCCCTGCACCCACATGCGAGACCCGGGTTCCTTCTGCGTGCCTGGCTCTGGCCTGGCCCAGCCCTGGCTGCTGCAGGCGCCTGGGGAGTGAACCAGTAGATGAGAATTTTCTGCCTCTCAAATAGCTAAAAATAACAAACGAGGGGGGCGGTGTTGTGCAGGGAGTTAATCCCCCGCTCGTGGAGTCAGCATCTCACACCGCAGCACCACTCCGAGTCCTGCCGACTCTGCTTCCCGTCCAGCTCCCAGCTACTGTGCCTGCGAGGGCAGCTGCCGGCACCAGCGCTCGGGCCCGGCCACCCACAGCGGGAGCCGCAGGGAGGCCCTGGCTGTGTCCTGTGCAGGGCTGCTGTGGCAGGCACTTCAGAGTGAAGCCGCAGACGGAGGCGCTCCCTCCCTGCACCCGCTCTCGTCCCTGTCACGTGGGCAGATACATCAATCTTCTTATAAACAGAAAGGCCGAGGGAAGGCTGGTGTGGAAGGGGCAACTCGACACCAGAGTGGGGGCAGTGGCTGCCGGGGTTCAGCTGAAGGGCACGGAGCACCCACTGGGCACTGGGGCGGGCGCCCCCAGCTGTGCTCCGGGCGCAGGCTGTGACCACAGAGCGGGGACATCAGTCACTGGACCCCTGACAGTGGACCCCAGCGCCAGGAACCCCGGCTCCAAGGGCGCTCCGGGGACCGGTGTGGCAGCTGGTGAGGAATGCAAGCTCCCACCGCAGGGTCGCTTCCTTGCCTGTCTGCGCAGTGTCCCCGCGGGAAGACAAGCAGAGTGAGGATCCGGTCCCCACGCGCCATCACCCTGGGTCCAGGCGGTCACCCTCCGACCCACACCCCCAGGAAGGCTCCCGCGTGACAGGGGTAACACAAACTGGGCGCAGCCTGCCTGCGCTTTGCCCTTGATTCAACTTTGAACAGAAACAAGTGTGCCAACTACAGTAAGGCTGTGAGGTCGGGGCACTTCAGATTCACAGAATGCCCATCTGCGGGGGTCCCGCGTCCCCGACCACCTCTGGCACAGCTCCAGGCTGTCCCTGGGAGGGTCAGCTCACTCCTCCTACAGTGATCACAGGCCGCTGCGGCCCCTCCCCTCCCCGACGCAGGCCAGCAGCGGCGTGGGGCCTCTGGGCAGAGGGCGGTGCGGCTGGCGGCTCGGGGCGGGTTTGTGCCCGGGTGGGCTGAGCCGGGTCTCTGCTCCGCTCTTCTGCTTCCCGGCAACACCCATCCATCCCCTCTTGGCAGCAGCGGCAGCGGCATGGCTCAAACAGTGCCAAGAAGTGACAACTTCTAGGTGGAAATTTTATTACTTTTTAAATAAAGCTACGATGAGGATAAAGATAAAAGGAGAGGCGACACTTTAATAAACCACGACTCCCGGGGGAGTTCTCAGACGTGCCGCCGGCTGCAGCAGACAGGAGCCCCCACCCTCCCTGGTCCAGGCTCTCGTCTGGTGGCGGCTTGTGCTTGTACTCTGGGTGTGTGCACGTGGGGCAGGTGTATTCTGTACTTAACCCCCCACCACCAAGAACCACAACACAGCTTCCTGGCGGATCCCGGGGCACGGGCACAGCCACGCGGTGGCCCGCTCCGAGGGGACGAGGAAACGTGTGCACGCGGAGAGAAGCGCCCGTACCTTCTCCCTCCCGATGGGCAGCGGCATCGCCGTGTACAGGTTCTTCCTCCCGTCGAACACCGGCTTCCGGTCGCCGAAGATCTGGGCTTTAAAGTGCTGCACCATGTGCTCTACTATCTCCCTGAAACCAGAAGTCGGAGAGGTCAGTGCCTGCAGGCCGCGCCAACACCGCAGACCCGCACGCAGCGGCGCGCCACGGGCCTGCTCCAAAGCCGCAGGCTGGGGCGCTCTCCATCCCGACTCCGAAGGGCCACCCCCGGGCACAGGGATCCCAGGTCAACTCCGGCCTCGGGAGCGGGACAGAGGCCCTGCCGTGTAAGCAGAGGCCACCAAGGGCCTTGGCCTTCCTTGTTCCTGGGGTCACCGGGGGCACAGGCCCCTTCCGGCCCGGTTCTGTTTGAACCTGGGGCACCACAGCCACAGAAACCTGCTGGACAGAGCAGCTCCTCTGTGGCACAGAGCAGACCGGTGGACGCCCGGCTCCATCTACCTCCCCCACGGCCGGACAGAGAGAGGCATCTGAAACACACTGTGTGTGCCGCTGGGGCAGCCGTGGCCTCCCACGGGCTGAGGATGGCCGTGCACCTCAGAGGGCCCACGCACAGCGTCCGTGAGGCGCAGACGCGGGGAGCCCCAATCCTGCCCCTGCCTCCAGCCCCAGCACAGGGGAGGCGGTCAGGAGCAGGGCCAGTGTGGCAGACCCACGCAGACCCCCGTGGGGAGGACCCAGGGCTCTGCTGCGCTGGCGTGTTTGCCTCCCAGCACGGCCCCGCCACATCTCTGGAAGAAGGCTGGCCCCAGGCTGTCCTTGCTCGGCCTTGGGAGGCGAGTGTCCAGGGCCCAGGGAGCTCTGCCCGGGCAGCACGGCCGAGGCCCCAGGACGGTCAGGGGCTCCAGCATCTGCCCCGCCTTCCCTGCCCTGCAGCCAAGGGCAACCTCACCTTGAGTTTTCCCAGCTCCTTGGGCGGCTGTGCTCCCACGCGTGGATGGCTCTTCTGGGGCCTCCACTCACAGCCAGGGATAAAACCCTCCACCCAAATTCAAACGACCCTGCCCAGCGCACACGGGCACACACCCCGGCTCAGTTGGAGGCCTGCAGCCTTTATCAGCAAGAGGGGCCATGGCCAAGCTCACCGACAAACACAGGTGCAGAAACAAACAAAACCCGGCGCAGCGGCTCCAGCAGCCCACGGGCAATCAGCACCCGTCAGCGTTCAGTTCCGCCTGCGGTGACAGGCTGGGTTAGCATTCTGAAGGAATGACTGTGCGCGGATGGCAGCTTCCAGAGGAAAGCAGAAGAGAACCTTTGTGAGCTGGGGGACAAAGATTCCTCAGGACAAAAGTACGAACCGAGCGGGCGTCGTGGCGCAGGGGGTTCAGCTGCCCCGTGACACCGGCACCCGCGCTTGAGTGCTGCTCCACTCCAATTCACCAGAGGAGACCACGGCCCAAGCGCCTGGACCCCTGCCACCCGGAGGACCTGGCTCTGGCCTGGCCCAGCGGATGGAGGTCTCTCTCCTTCTGTCAGTCTGATTTCAAATGAATACGCCTTCCTCCGCTGCCCCCCACCCCCCACCCCGGCTGGGACTGGAGGGCAGCTCAGGCACGGGGTCGTCAGTAAAGCAGCAGCCCCGAGCAGGGGCTGAGGGGACCCCACCAGTCAGACGTGCAGGAGGACGGACGGGGGCTGAGTCCCACGCTGCACCCCGTTCTCACCGCGTCTGTATCGCACTTGAAAGGCACGCGCACACACGCCCCCCACAGCTACAGTGCACGCCCCACAGGCCCGCGACGGCTGCCAGTCCCCCGCACGGGGTCAGGGACCCAGGCACTCAAGCTGTCACCTGCTGTTCCCAAGGCTGCACCCGAGCAGGGGCAGGAAGGGACAGTGGAGGGGGACTAAACCCAGGCTCCCCAGCTCAGGATCTGGGCGTCTACACTACATGCCGGCCCCTCACAACTCCTTTTCTGGAATTACAGATTTTTGATGTTGGAAACGCCATTTTTTAAAGAACACACATGCTGGCCGGCGCCGCGGCTCACTAGGCTAATCCTCCGCCTAGCGGCGCCAGCACACCGGGTTCTAGTCCCGGTTAGGGCGCCGGATTCTATCCCGGTTGCCCCTCTTCCAGGCCAGCTCTCTGCTGTGGCCAGGGAGTGCAGTGGAGGATGGCCCAGGTGCTTGGGCCCTGCACCCCATGGGAGACCAGGAGAAGCACCTGGCTCCTGGCTCCTGCCATCGGATCAGCGCGGTGCGCCGGCCGCAGCGTGCTGGCCGCGGCGGCCATTGGAGGGTGAACCAACGGCAAAGGAAGACCTTTCTCTCTGTCTCTCACTGTCCACTCTGCCTGTTAAAAAAAAAAAAAAAAAAAAAAAAAAAGAACACACATGCTATATTTATGGTCTGGAATATTCAATTCTGAAGCAAATCCACTTTAATCCCAATAAAATACAGAGAACGGTTTATCTCTACGCGGGGGAACTTAGCAAAGTCATCCCGAAACGTGCTTGCAGACGGGAAGGGCCGGCCGCCGGAGCCAGGGCCGCCCGGCGCCTCCTGCACGCAGCACCTACGGAGAGCAAGGCCGCCCTCTACAACCCGCGCCGTGGACGGGGCTCCGTGTCAACGCCGGCTGTCCCTGCTGGCCAGCGAGCCCGTCAGCACTCACTCGCTGCCGGACACAGCTCTCAGTGAGCTGGGAGACAGACACCGCCCACGGCCTGCGACGCCAGCAGCTGGCCCAGCGCTCGGCTGTTAGCAGGGGGAAGGGGCATCTGTTTGTCCAGGGAGCCGCCACAGGGTCTGCACAGGGAGGGCCGCCCCGGAGTGCGAGCAGACCCTCAGCCGCAGCGCCCAGCCAGCGCTGAGGCAGCCGCGGGCCGCGGGCCCAAGCCTGGGCATCCGGGGCCGCAGACTGGCCCTTTCAGTGAAATCGTGGTAAAACGCAGGTAGCGCGAAGCCGCACACTGTAAGCGCACACAGCTGAGTGACATTATGCAGCCTCACCAGCATCCGCCTCCAGGACGTCTGCCTTAAAACCCGCATTTGGACACACGCACGCAGCTGCAGGCAGACGCAGCTCCCGCCTGCGGCTCGTTCCCCAGATCCTCCAACCACCCCTGGCTGGGGCTCAGGCCGGAGATCCGGAGCTGAATCCAGGTCTCCCACGTGCGTGGTGGGGGCCCAGTCACTTGAGCCACCTCCTGCCCGGAGGAAGGACTGGAGGAAGCCAGGCGCTCTGCTGTGGGACACGGGCACCTAACCCACGGGCACCCGCCCAACACCCACCCTCCACAGCCCCACCCTCCTCCCAGACCAAACACTGACTCTGCCCCCGTGCCCGGCGGCTGACAGCTGGAGGGGCCTCTTTGGGGTGCTGCACCTGCACATCCCGTGTGACCACGGGAGAACCACGCACAGGGCACAACGGCCCACAGCACGGCCCGCGGGCCCCATGCTGTCCCGTGTCCTACAGAAGCCAGGCTGCACCACCTGCTCTGGACAGAGCTGGGCTGTGCGGGAGGTCAGAGACCGGCCCCTCCCTCTCCAGGGGGCGCCTGCCAGGCGCCCAGCGAGGTCCCCGTCAGAGCTGGTGCTGTGCTGCTGGACTCAGCCTCCAAACCTCTCTGTTCCCAGCCTCACGGGCCACGCAGCAGTAACAGGAAGCAGGCTACCGCGACGACACACTGCCTTCCAGAGACTCTGGGCCCGTCTACGCTCGCACCGGCAGCTGGTGGTCCAAGCTACGGAGCTGCAAGTGGGGGCTGCAGGCGGCCCCGTCTGCCCCAGGAGCAGAACGGTCACTCCCACAGCGCTGTCCTGGTGCCACGCAGCGGAACTCACCCAGGACGGGCAGAGCAACCACGCTCCTCCCTGCAGCCCACTCCCCGTCTCGTCAGCCTTCGCGGTAGCACGCGCGGCCTGGGCACTCCCCGAGTGAGGCCCCGGCCTCCGTGGAATCCCAGCCCCGCAGCAGCCGCTCCGCCAGCGACTGGGGGCACCAGAGGCGAGGACGCCCTGCGCGCAGCACAGCGCAGAGCTGGGAAACGAAGGCCTGCTTCCCACGGCCTCGCACAAGCCTCAGGGCCGGGTTTACTGCAACCCGCCTGGGCACCGCACAAGCTTCCGAGAACTTGGCCGGGCCAGGTGCTGTGCCTTCAGGGGCGGCAGTGCGGTAGGAGACAGGCGGGGGGCGTGGGGGGGGTAGGCACCAGGCACTCGGGGCCCTCCCACTCTGCCAGTGAACACTGTCACCGCTGCGGGAGGGAGGGAGGGAGGGTCCCGCCGCCAGCACACACCCTGACTCCCAGCGCCGCTCTACCCTGAGAGTTTTAAGCATGAACCTTGGCCAAGGTTTATCTGAATTCACAGCAGAATGAAGAATTCTAAAGGTTCACACACTGAATGAAGCCAGAATTCCCAACTGGGCTCAAACCTAGGCCACAAACAGCCCCAGGCGCTCTGTGACCCGAGGGCACTGCTGGCCGCAGGGCTTGACCGCAACAGGTGTGGCGCAGTGTGGCCAGGACGGGCGCACTTCCATCAGCACCGCCAATCAAAAGCCAGGCGACCCGCCTGCTTGCCACGGCGGCACTGCGGGCCTGGGAGCAGGCCCCAGGTCACACAGACACACATTTCTAACCCCAGCAAACTCAAAACCAAATCACCACGCACATCCCCGGGGTGCCATGGGGCATCTGACGCAATCCAAGCCCCAGGGAGGCTGGAGCGCCCTCCTTGGACAGCGCGGCCCTTGCTGAGTCTCTGCACACCGTCCTACAGAAGTCTGCGCAGGAGGGAGCAGCCCAGGTCATCAAATGAGCATGGCTGCAGCTGAGACTTGTCTCTGGCCACCACAAAGTCACCGGCATCGGCTTTACCCACCCACCCTGAACAAGAGAAACAGACAGCTGCTTTTGGCACTAGGAAGCCGGCAGCTGGGGGCCCTGACCATGGAGGTGAGACAGGCAGGCCGACGGGAAGAAAGCAGCAGACTCCGAGCTGGGAGCCCACGCCTGCGCCCTGACCGGATCTCACCTGTACTACGCCCCTCCTGGAAGGGGATAAAAGGTGTGCAGGCTCGCTCTGCGTTCCTGTCCTCTCCCAACCGCAGGCTTTGC